TCAAATTCACCTCAACATTTACTTGGTGCATCATCATATTGCCAACAATCAAATTCATCTCCTCAAAAAATATATATGCATTAATGAAACAATAAACAAATAAATAAAATAAATAAATTTTTTTTTAAATATAAAAATGTACTACTGTTGCATTACTTTATTAGTTTAACTAGGGTGACGAATCCATCATGTAAAAAAGATTTCAGTGAAGTTTTCAAATAGCTCAACTGATAAAGGGCTATATCAAACATCTAATTGATATATTGCATGAAAATGACATAGTTTTTGGAGATTTAAGACCATATAATGTTCTATATGATCGTGATTCAAGAAGAATATCTTTAATTGACTTTGATTGGGCAGTGAGGCATAATGTAGATAAATATCCACCATTTATGAACCATTCTGATGATATTAATTGGCCACAAGGGTAGAAGAGGGGAAACTTATGAAAAAAGAGCATGATCTACATTTTTTTAATACATTATGCTTATTTATATCATTATTTTCAGATGTATAAATTAATAGATTCTTTCTAATGTTGCAATTTATTTCATTCTGGAAAAAGTTTCTTGATAAACAAAATATAAAATTTAATTTTTTTATTGAAGCATTGCTTTGTTCTTTTTTATCCAATGAACTTATTGCTAGAATTTTTGTTGACTTGTTTTATATTATGGTCAATAAACTTAATGTTAATTTAGACCAAACTTTTTGGCTAGCCAATCAATCTTAATGAAATAATTTTTTTTATGGATAATGACTCCTTTATCTTTCATGCCTAGTTAATTTTATTGAGAATATATCTTAAAATTACAAAGTGAACATAAAATTATATATATAGGGATAAGTGTATATGAAAAGTAATAATGTAAATAATAATCATAATGGTTCTAATGAATATGAAAAGACAATAATTTTTTTGGAAAAAGGTTGCAAATGTGGATGTTCTTCAAAAATTCCCAAGGAACAATTTGCAGAATTAAGAGAATCCCTTCAAGCACTTTCTAAATCAGAACAAGACATATTTTTGATGGCCCAGATTAAAGCAATGGATGGTGGATCAATAAGTACTAGCAGACGCCTTAAAAAGAAAGACAGATTTAATAAAAGAACTTTTTACCACTGGGATCATAATACACTTCTTTGTCAAGAAAATTATTTAAATATGCTAGGAATTGGTAGAACTTATTTTGAAAATATTAGAAGTCATCTGATCAACAATGGTCTTTTAGCAAGAGTTCATGGCAATGTAAAAAAGATACCTCAATGGAAAACCAAAATGGTAATTGATAAAATGTTGCAGAAGTAGTAAAGAATTTTCTGGAAAATTATGCAGAAATTCATGGATTACCAAGTCCAGGAAGAAGTAACAATAGATAATTCAGTCAATTGTCTTTTTACCAGCTGAAATGAGTTATAAATCAGTACATAGAAACTTTCTAGCTGGTCTAGAAGAAGATAATAATTTGAAATCCTTAAAATATGATGCCTTCAGGAAGTTATGACATCAATTGACACCAGAAATTCAAATTATGAGTCCCAGGACTGATCTATGTGATACTTGTCAACATTTTTGAAATGGTTTACATTATAATGCTCGCCAAGAGGGAGAAGCTAAAGATTTACTTAAAAGATTTAAAGAACATCTGTCCAAGGCCAAATTAGAAAGAAATTATTATAATATAAGGATACTGGCTGCAACTTTTGATGATGGTTGCTACCACCTTTGCGTCATATAAAAATGA